AGAAGACTCTTAAAAGTCCCTTGGACTGCATGGAATTCCAACCAGTTCATCCTAAAGGAAATCAGTCCTGAATATTCATTGGAAGGACTGATGCTGAAGCTGAAACTCCAATACTTTGGCCACCTGATGTGAAGAACCAACTCATTGGAAAAGACCCTGATGCTGGGAAAGATTGAAGGCAGGAGAAGGGGATGACAGAGGATGAGATGGTTGGATGGCATCACCGACTTGATGGACGTGAGTTTGAGTAGGTTCTGGGAGTTGGTGACAGACTGAGAAGCCTGGCGTGCTGTAGTCCATGGGGTTGCAAAAAGCTGGACACAACTGAGTGACTGAACTGAACTGAATGAGTGGTGGAGATGGAAAGGCATTTCTGCATACAGAAAATAAAAAGAAAACGGCAGAATTATGGTGACCACAGATGAGAAGATATAGTATGGTGTGGAGCCTAGCTGTGGAACGTGTGGCAGGAAAGCAAACAGGGACAGGCAGCCTGGGAATGGATTACCAAAGGGTTTGTAAGTCCTTTTATTTACTTATTATTTTAACTTTTACACAAAGTATTTATTTACTCAGGTCTGCTGGGTCTTAGTTTTGGTAGTCTGGATCCTTAGCTGTGGCCTATGAACTTCTAAGTTGCAACATGCAGTCCAGTGCCCTGACCAGGGATCCAACAAAGGCCCCCTGAGTTGGGAGCACGGAGTCTTAGCCACTGGATCACCAGGGAAGTCCCGAGGGGTTGTGAGTCCTTTTAAACAAAAGCAGGAGTTAACCTTGCTTTGCCATGGCCTGCTCTGGCAGCATGGATCCTTCTCAGAATAATCTTTTAGGTGCAAAAATACAATACATAGGATTACAAAGAAAACCAGTGATAGTGAAATTCAGTTATCATTAAGAGTAAAAATCAAAATTTGGGATACTTTAATACATATGCTTCTTCATTAATGTATTAAATAAGATCTACTGATGGGCCTAAAAATTATTGTAGTTTTTAAAAAATTAATTAATTAATTTCTGGCTGTGCTGGGTTTCCGTTGCTGCCTGATGGCTTTATCTAGTCACAGCAACTGGGGGCTACTCTCTGGTTTCCGTGCTCCGCTTTCTTGTTGCAGAAACCGGCTTCTCTTGTTGCAGAGCACTGACTCCAGAGCTTACCAGCTCTGTGGTTTTAGCGCTCAGGACTTGGTTGCCCTGTGGCATGGTGGATCTCCCTGGACCAGGGATGAAATCCATGTGCCCTACATGGGCAGGTGAATTCTTAACCTCTGGACCACAAGGGAAGTCCGAAATTACTTTAATTTTAAAGCAGGGAGGAGTGGAAACGATTTTTTCCCCAACGTTTTATTGTGAATAAAATATTTTTGATATATCTGAAAGACTAAAGGGATTTGAAAGTCTGAGACTTCTGTTAAGACAAAGAAACAGGTATTGCCAAAACTACTGCAGTTGTTCACACGCATGATGGAAAGAGAGGTTAAATTTCAGAGACTAGTGAAAGTGAGATGAAATATTTTTCCCATTCAGATTCACAGGCCCTCTGCATTCTATCCACCACTGGGTACCCTTATGTTACGGGGTCTGGGATTTATTCCCAGGGCACTAGGGAGTCACTGAAGGACAGGAAAGATAGTGAAGGATGGGGAAGCCTGGCGTGCTGCAAGCAGTGGGGTCGCAGTCTGACATGACTGAGCGACTGAACAACAAAGGGAGCCACGGTCAAGGAGGTGTGGGACACAGCTCGCTGGCAGCCCCCGACAGCGAGAAAATGTTGGAGCCGAAGAAAGGCTGGATGCCAGAATCCAGCTGTCGCAGTCGTCTCCGAGGGGTGGCGGGCCGCCCAGGGTGCAACAGTTAGGATGCACCCTAGGAGGCAGAGTCAAAAGAGATACTCTGGTGCCTTGGTTTCCCTGACTGGGATAATGGAACAACCCGTCAGGCTGCCCTTGTCCGTATTTTGACTCTGAATCCTACTCTGAACCCCACCCAGGCCGTGGAGCCTCCTCAGGGAAAGAAGTCGAATCCCGGTGACACCCTCTTCACCGTCCATCCTCTCAGGCCGCAGGGGAAGAGCGCTAAGATCACTTCGGCCAGACTCCCCGAATATAGTCCCCTACCGACTCTTGGCTTCTCCGAAGCCCTCGGGCGCTGCTCCAAGCCCCAGGCCGGCATCGCTGCCTCGCGGCACCGCTCCAGCTCCTCTTCATCGCTGCTGCTGCTGCTGCTCTCCAAATCGCTCATGGCGCCACTGGGTGCCGCCACCTTGAAGCACCGCAAAGGATGGTGGGGAGAGCCTCCGGGAGCGGTCGTCCTCCTAAGGTCCCAACAGGGAGCGGAAAAGCGCAGGGCATTGTGGGGATTGTAGTTCTTAGACTCAGGCCAGCATTGGGTCCTAAAGTGTCCTGAAGGGTTTCCTGAAACCTGAGAGCTGGAAGGGCCTAAGAGATCAACAGATCTATCCTTGATGAGGAAAATAAGACCTATAGACAGGAAGGAATTGCCTAAGGTCACACAAGGGGTTAATGACAGTCAGGATTGGTTCCCATGTTTTGGTCCAATGCACTTTGATTATTATCCACTTATTCTACAAATTCGGAAGTCTGTTTGGGCATCAGAAGTACCTTAGGGAACTTTGTGTCTGTGGCGGGGTGGGGTCGGGGGCAAGGGGCTTCTCAGGTGGTGCCAGTGGTAAAGAACCTGCCTTCCAGTGCAGGAGATGTAAGAGACGCAGGTTCAATCCCTGGGTCAGGAAGATCCCTTGGAGACGGGCCTGGCAACCCATTCCAGTATTCTTGCCTGGAGAATTCCATGGACAGGGGAGCCTGGCAGGCTACAGTCCATAGAGTGGCACACGACTGAAGCGACTTTGCAAGCATGCACGCACGTCTGTGGTAAAAGTCACATAATATTTTGTCGTCGTTTAGTTGCTAAGTCGTGTCTGACTCTTGCGACCCCATAGGTATGTAAACTGCCTGGTCCTCTGTCCATGGAAGTCCCCAGGCAAGAATACTGGAGTGAGTTGCCATTTTCTTCTCCAGGGGATCTCTCCAACTCAGGGACCAAACTTGCGCCTCCTGCATTGCAGGTTGATTCTTTACTGCTGAGACACCAGGGAAGCCCACATAATATAAAACATACTATTTTAACCATACTTAACTGTACGCTTCACACTGTTGTGTAGGGGACTTTTTAAAATGCAGATTGTTGAGTCTCACTGAAAACTAGGCAAATCAGAGTCTCTGAGAGGTGGGACTCAGGAATCTGTATTCCTTTCAATATCCTAGGGCTTTGTTAATACTCTCAGTATAATCCGTGAACAAGCAGCATCGGCAAACTCCAGAGCCTGTTAGAAATTCATAGTCTTGGTTTCAGCCTAGACCTGAATCAGAACCTGCATTTAAACAGGATCTCCAGGTGATACGGACTTCCCTGGTGGCTTAGCAGTAAAGAACCTGCCTGCCAATGCAGGAGACACGGGTTTGATCCCTCGGTCAGGAAGATCCCCAGGAGAAGGAAATGGGAACCCATTCCAGTATTCTTGCCTGGGAAATCCCATGGACAGAGAAGCCTGGTGGGCTACAGTCCATGGGGTTGCAAATAGTCGTACTTGACTTAGCGAGTCAACAAAAACAGCAACAACAATAGGCTATTATAGAGTATTGAGTTGAGTTCCCTGCGCTCTCCAGCACGTTCTTATTAGTTATCTGTTTTATAGGTAGTGTGTAAATGTCAGTCTCAACCTCCCAATTTATCCCTCCCCTTTCCCCCTTCGCCCCTGGGAACCATAAGTTTGTTTTCTACATTCATGACTCTATTTCTGTTTTGTAAATAAGTTGAGGGGATTTTTAAAACTGCATCATCTTCCATCTCCCAGACTTCTCTTATCTCTATCTCACTTTCCACACAGTCCTTACTTTCCAGACTTGAGCGGCTCCTATGCTGAGGTTATAACCCCCAGGACAGCCTTAGCACCTATGGAAATAAATGAAGACCATCCGAAAGAGAACAAATGAAGGTTATTTATTCCCACCTCACTATAGCCAGGGAGTTGGCCACCGTCCCTTGCCTTTGGCAGAGACACCAAGGCAAGGAGGGCGGTGAGACAGCTTTATAGTGGCATAAAGAGAAGGCTTCAGGTATACCCTGATTGAGGTTGTTTGCATGGGAAGCTGGAAGTGGGCTACTTAGAAGCAGAGCATCCTATAAGATTGGTCAGGGACCTTGTTTGGCTTTCTTTCATCAGTCCTAAATTGGAAGGGAGGGAATAGAGAATCTAGTAGTTGTTGACCAAATCCCGTTGGTTTCCAGTTAATTGATACTATGGTTTGGCTTCCAGGCTGGTGGCTACAGAACTTGTGGGTCAGAATTCTGTTGTCGAATATGCTCTGGCCATTGTTGGTTTGCATATCTAGTCTCATATCCCTCATCAGCTGTCTACTGGCAAGGTTAGGTGAAATAGATGAGACCTAGATTAAACAGCAAAAATGCACAGGGAGATGTTTCAGAGGAAACTGACTGGGTGGAAATGGCACCTATCCAACTGTCTTTTTGGAGAGGATGAGGGTGGTGCTGTCTCGGACACCATAGCAACTCAAACTCCACTCATCCTGCAGGACTTGGCCTTGGAACTCTAGCTGTTGCTTCTTTCTGAGTAGCCCCTCCCTCACTTCAATCTGACACTTCAGGTCAAGGACCAAGCTGCTGGAGTAAATGGCATAGGCGTGGCTCCCACTGCTGTGATTCTTCACGAAGACCTGCATCCGGGGAGGGAAGGTCTGCAGCAGAGAGACTTGAGTGTCAGAGAAGATACTGTAATCTGCCAAGGAGGATATGTTCCTGAGGACCTGTCGCTCCCCACCAGGCCCCTGGAAGGACAGACGCTGTGGGGCCGAGGACTCCAGCTTACACTGGATCTTCTCTTTAAGCTCCTGTATGGACTCATAAGGGTTCACCTGGATGATGAAATCCACATGACCCCACCGTTCCACTGTCACCTTGATGTCTCATGCAAATTGGAAGGGAGAGGAGAGAGAGGGGTTAAGTCCACCTTCCGGTGTCTGAGGACAAACGTGCCCTTCAGGGATTTCCCTGGTGGTCCAGTGGTTAAGACTTCACCTTCCAGCACAGGGAGTGTGGGTTTGATCCCTGGTTGGGGAACTAAGATCCCACATGCCTCGTGATAGAAAAACTGAAAACATAAAACAGAAACAACAGTTGTAACGAATTCAATAAAGACTAAAAAAGTAGTCCACATTAAAAAAAAAATCTTAAAAAAAAATTCTATTGTGTGGACGGACGTTAAAACAAAACAAAACAAAACAAAACAAACACGTGCCTTTCACCTGTCCGTGTCTTCACAACAGCAGCAGCTGCAAACATTTTGTTTGCTTGCTAAGTCATGTCCAACTCTTTGCGACCCCATGGATTGAAGCCCACCAGGCTCCTCCGTCCATGGGATTTTCCAGGCAAGAATACTGGAGTAGGTTGCCATTTCATTCTCCAGGGGATCTTCCGGACCCAGGGATTGAACCTAAGTCTCTTGCATTGGCAGGTGAATTCTTTACTGCTGAGCCACGAGGGAAGCCCATTGAGGGGGTACTTCCCTTCCAGGGCCTGGACTGGGCGCCATTCATACTTTCCTTAATGCATTCTATTCTCACAGCAGCCCTATGAGGTTGGTTCTGTGATTAGCCCATTTTACAGATGAGGAAATCATGGTTGAGCAGGATGATGTCATTTATCAACCATCACAAAAGTAGTGAAGAGCAGAGCAGTTATTTGAACTGAGGTCAGTCAGACTCCCAGGTCTGTTTTTCACCATCAGAGGCCACACTCAAGGGCCTGGGAGCCCCAGATGGTTGAAGAGCAACATCTGCAAGGTGCTGGGAGAGGGGACTGCTGTGTAGACCTCCAGCTGATCCTTTCAAGAAGGGATATAGGTTCAGCACTGCCAGGTCTTCTGGTTTTTCAAGATAAAAATCTTTGCATGATTTAAATTTTTTTTTTAATTTTTAAAGATTATTTTATATTTTGACTGCGGTGGATCTTTATTGCTGCTTGCAGATTTTCTCTAGTTGCAGTGAGCGGGGACTACTCTTCATTGCCATATGCAGACGCCTCATTCTGGGGGCTTCTCTTGTTGTGGAGCACAGGCTGTAGGCACAGGCTTCAACACTTGCAGCACTGGGGCTCAGTATTTGCAGCTCACAGGCTCTGGAGTGCTGACTCAGTAGTTGTAGCACATGGGCTTAGTTGCTCCATGGCATGTGGGATCTTGCGGGACCAGGGATCAAACCAATATTCTTTGCATTGCAAGGTGAATTCTTAACCATTGGACAACCAAGGAAACCCCATGATAGCTTTTATAATCAAGAAGAATCCAAAGGCACATACTTTTCAGCCCATTGGTGGCCTTTTTACAGCTGGTGGGCCCCCAGTTTGTAGTCTCTGCTCCTCATTAGGGAGACTCGATTCTGCTTCTGCTCTCTGCTATAAGTACCTCAGTCTTTTGCACACAACGTTAGTCCTTTGCCCCTTACCCACTACCCTAACCCTCTACCTGGATAGAGGTTATCCTCTACCTTTTTCTGCTGAATGCCTACATCCTTCCCTGGCTTTTAGGGCCCACCTCAAGCCCTAACTTCTTCAAGAAACCTTCCTTGGTGACTTGAGTGACATTTATTTTCTGATTGCATGGCCCCCAAAAGATCTGGGTATGAATTCTGACTCTGCTGCTTCTTAGCAGTGTGACTTTGGTTAATTAATGCTACCTCTCTAAGCCTCAGTTTTCTCATCTGTAAAATGGGGATAATAATGCTAACGGTAATAATAATACTTGACCTTTCTGTGTTACAGACTTGTCCCTGAACGAGTGCTTTGCCAGCTGTAAAGCACGATGCCAATAAAATAGATCCCTTTGCTCTTTACCTGCACCATGGGTTTGGCATTTTTTGTTTTCTGAGTAGTTTCTCTGGTAATTCCACTTCTCAGTTTTGTGCAAGTTTGTCTCATGGACTTGCTTTCTAAACAAAATCTTTCTAGCAAAATTTCTTAAGGGTAGGGGCTGTGTCTTATTTCTGTGCTAGTGTTGCCCCCGGTCATCCCCCATCAGCCCCAAGCCTGGTACTGGCACAAAACAGCTGATTAGGGACTTACCTGGTGATACACTGGACGGGGATCCGCTTGTCAGTGGAGGGGACACAGCTCTGATCCCTGGTCCTGGAGGATTCTGTGTGCCTTGGAACAACTGAAGCTCATCCCCACAGCTACTGTAACCTGTGCACCATACAGCCCGTGCTCTGCACCAAGGGAAACCATCGTAATGAGAAGCTGGTGCACTGCAACAAACAGTAGCACCCCCACGCCACCACTACATCAGCGAAGACCTAGAGCAGCCGAAAAAATAAAAATAAATAAATTACATATAAAAGAAACCAACCAGCTGATTGAATTGACTTGCCTGGACTCAGCTTATGAGAAGAATGATTGAGCCCAGAGAATCCCAATGACTCTTTGGTGAATTATGAGAAGAGGAAAAAACAGGAAAACAAGAATTTGAAGATAAGGAATCTGAAGCTCAGAGAGCTGAATAATTTCCCCAAATCCACAGAGCTGGTGGGTGGTGTAGCCAGGCCCCAAAGTGATGCTTAAGCAATATTGGCTCCCTCAACACAGAAGTAAATAAGTGAATTGTTGTTGTTTAGTCTCCAAGTCCTGTCGGACTCTTTTGCAACCCCGTGGACTGTAACCCACCAGACTTCTCTGTCCATGGGATTTCCCAGGCAAGAATACTGGAGTGGGTTGCCATTTCCTTCTCCAGGGGATCTTGTGGGCCCAGGGATAAAACCTGTGTCTCCTGCACTGGCAAGTGGATTCTTTTCCACTGAGCCACCAGTATCTCATTCCAAACTTCTAGCCTCTGGTAGCCAGAGAAGAGACATTACCTTCAGTTTCCAGTTGGGGATGTCATAGCAACAGTACTGTTTCAGGCAACAGCGGGCACTCTGAGCCACTATATCCCATCTGTAGCCTGTTGCCATGTTGTAGGTGGGGTCAGCCAGATCCAAGATGATGGGCCTGTAACACAGAGAGAGGGAGCCCAGGTTCTTTCTTGCTTGGAAGCCTGAAAACAGAAAGAAATCTTCTTGGCAATCATCTGAGCATCTGCTATGTTCAGAGCCCAGGGTCGTCAGTCCAAGAGGGTCCACAAATATTGCCAGAGAGTAACAGAATGACGAGGGCTTCCCAGGTGGCTCAGTGATAAGGAATCCCCCTGCCAATGCAGGAGACTCAGCAGACCTGGATTCGATCTCTGGGTCAGGAAGATCCCCTGGAGGGGGAATGGCAGCCCACTCCAATATTCTTACCTGGGAAATCAGCTGGACAGAGGAACCTAGGGGGCTACAGTCTGTGGGGTCACAGAGAGTCAGACTCGCCTGAGCGACTGAGCAGCAGCAGCAACAGAAGGAAGAGGATTCTGTTTCTAAGAATTCCTCAGGACTTCCCTGGTGGTCCAGTGGCTAAGACTGCACTCTCAGTGCAGGGGGCCTGGGTTCGATCCTCAGTCAGGGGACTAGATCTCGCATGCTGCAGGTAAAGATCCCGCAGGTAGCAACTACGATCGAAGATCCTGACTAAATGCCACAACTAAGTCTCAGTGTGGTCAAAATAAATAAATAAATACTTAAAGTAAATTTCTCTGGGGGAGAGTATTTTAGGTGTTTGTAAGGAATCTTTGAGGTGTACAGAGGTTGAGACCCCCAAAGCCATGATGGAACAAGAATAGCGGTCCCTCAGGCAGACCACACCAGCCTGTGGCCCTCTTAAGTTCAGAGCTTTCACATTGCTGAACAGGCTACATAAATGAGTTCAAACCTAGAGCTTCTGAATTGCTTTGGACAATAACAGTACCGCTGGTACCATTTACTGATGTTTCCTGAGGCACGGGGTCAATCTTAGGTAACCTATTTTAATCCCTGCAACAATTCTCTAAGGTATGATGATGACGGTGGTAGTGATGATGATGATGATGATAATTTCTCCCCACTTTACAGATGAGAAAACTAAGTCACAGACCTCCCTAGGTTCTCCCAACCTGAAGATGGGATTCTGATCCATCTCATTTGCCTCAACAGAGGGGAGGTTGAGCTCCCTCCAAGCGTCTCTCCTCTAGGTAACTGTTGAATAGATATTTTAAAGAATATTGGCGGGCTCTGCCCCGGGCCGGCCCGGCCGGGTCGCGGTGGCCAGCGCCGAACCCAGGTCATCTGCCCGCTGCTGGAGGCCGTCTTCAGGAAAGAGGGGCCGGGGCCCACTGGACCCCACCCACGGTGCCAGTTCAATCTGGAGAAGGAGAACAACAGCAACCAACAGAAGACCTTGGACTTCAGGAACTGAATTGGAAGAGGTGCCTGAAGAAATGGACGCTAGGAGAAAACACTGGAAGGAGAATATGTTTGCTCCTCTTTTCAGTGCACAGGATATTCTAGACGAAGCTACTCAGCTTGAATCTTCTTCTGAACAAATGACTTTAGATAAGGCCAAGAGAATGGAAGGAATATTTAATTTGTCTAGTAGAAAGTTTCTAGAAGAAAATAAATTTAAAAGGAAAGAATTTATTTCCCAACCAAATGAAAATGAGCAAGAATCAAATTTAATAGAGAGAAAGATAAACATTTCAAAGAGTGAGGCAGACACAAATTCTGCCTCTTGTGAATCATCTAATTTGGGCATTGCAACTGAAGAAAGCTTTAATGGCACAGAAGAGCTTCCTGCCTGGGGTACAAAGGAGTTATCAACTCCACCACAAAAAGACAAGAAAAAGAAATTCACTGAAGGAATGTCTCCAAAACTTCGCCTGGATCTTTTGAATGAAGAGCTGGAAGTGCTTAATATGAAATGCAGAAAAATTGAAGAGGAATTTGAAAGTGCAGAAAAAGAACTTTTGAACTCCAAAAAAGAAGTCTCCACAAAACCCCTAAATTTTCAAGAAGCAGGGGTGGAAACTTCCAAGAAAGACTGGGAGCTTTAAGCTTTAAGAAATGACCTCTCTGAAAAAGCAACAAATGTTAAAAACTTAACTGAAGAGCTCCAGCAAGCCAAAGAGGTCATCCACAAGTTGAGCCTTGAGAACAAGGATTTAAAAGAAGCTGTTAGGAAGTTAAAGCAGCAGACTGAGGTTGGAAATGCACTCCTAAAAGAAGAAATGAAATTGTATTATGAATTAGAAATGGAAAAGATCCATGGAGAGCTCAGTGCCATCAAGAATGAACTGAGAACAGAGAAGACCCTACAAGCAAGGAATAACAGAGCCCTGGAGTTGCTTAGGAAACACTTTGCTTCTGTAACGCCGTCAGGTACCTCTGAGAACTTTATGGGGGATTTTTTTTTAAAACTTAAAAAAAGAAAATAAAAAAATCCTTTCATTGGACAAAAAAAAAAAAAGAATATTGGCTTGAAGGGGTCTGATAGATGACTGAGGTTGCGTGGGGTGACCACAGGTCTTAGATGTCAAGCCCATGATGAAGACCTGGCCCGTGTGTGGTTTTCTGTTTTTGTTTTATTTGGCTGAACTGGGTCTTAGTTGTGGTGTGCCAGGTTTTCATTGCGGCACGTAGGATCTTGGCTTCGGTACACGGGATCTTTTTAGTTGTGACTTGTGGGATCTAGTTCCCTGACCAGGGATCAAACCCGGGCTCCCTGCATCGGGAGCATGGAGCATTAACTACTTGACCACCAGGGAAGTCCCAAGACCTTGTACTCTAGGAGCTTTTGACTTAGGCGGGAGCTGAGACTTTGTCTAAGTGACAGAATGTGTTAGCAGGCTAGTGACATGAACTGGACACTTTAAGCTCCATGCTTTCAACTCCCAGCATCCCTGGTTCCCTGAAATGGTCCTGCCTGACGGAGTCAGGGAGCAGTGCCACTCTGTCCTGTGGATTCGACTCACCTGATCCAAGGAACCCACCAGGTGAGCTGGCATGTAGAGCCTCTGCCTAGTAATCAAATTAGTTCCCTCTGGAGTTTGGACCAGAAGTGATGGATGTTCCTCATCCTTACTCCTCTTAATGGAGTAAGAGGGGAGCAGGGCAGGTGTGGAGACAGAAACAGAGGCAGTGAGAGGGGAGGGAGCACGTGGGCCATGAGAGGGAATGACAGAGAAGGGGAGTCTATACTAGTTTGCCTCGGGTCCTAATGGTTTTCCCAGGTCAATATTCTAAGCATCAATACAATAAATTGTCTTTTCATAAGGAGACCTGGTTACTCTTTCTTGTTAAAAAAAAAAAGACCTGACACTCACATGAAGGAACAGTAAATATTCTTACAATATTGCTTACAATGACCTAAAGCTTCTAGTATAAAGAGTTGTCTCAGGTTGGGTTCTCCCAGAAGCAGAACCTAAGATGAGGATTTGAATGCAAGTCATTTATTTGGAAGGAGGTGCCAGGAAGCACCACAGAGCAAGTGGGAAAGTGAGACAGGGACGGGAAGGATGCCAATAAAGCATATGTATCAAGGTGTTACCTCTGTGAGCAGCTGGGGGTTGGACTCTGAGAACTAGTGTGGGACACATGACCCAGAAAGAGTCCCTCCATCTGAGATGGTATTTACACACCAGCCTCTGCCAGTCACTAAGGAAGCTGAAAACCCACAGGCAAAGGGACACAGGTGCTGACAGTTGGAGGTTGAACCAACCTTCCCCGAAATGGTAAAGGCCCAGGGGATACGAATGGGTATAAGCAGCATGTATTACAACACTGAACATCTAGCTGGCATCTATCATAGGATAGATACAGTGGCCCTTTACGTGTATTTTCTCTGACTATTCTAAGAGTCCTGCATGGCTGGTGGCAATTACTCCTGTTCTGGGCTTCCCTGGTGGCTCATTAGGAAAGAATCTGCCTGCCAATGGAGGAGATGGGTTCGATTCCGGTATGGGAAGATCTGCTGGGAAGGAAATGGCAAAACACTCCAGTATTCTTGCCTTGGAAATCCAATGGACAGAGGAGCCTGGTGAGCTATAGTTCATGGGGTCATGGAAGAGTTGGACGACAACAACAACTCCTGTTTTCAGATGAGGAATGAAGGCTCACAGAGATGAGAAAATAGCAGAGCTGGGATTTAACTTGGGTCTCCATGGTTCTTTTTAGTTTCTCATGCTGGGAAAAAGCACTGAAATGGTCTTCTGAGGGCAAGAGGATTAACAAAGAGTGGAGTGATAGTTTGGGGAATAAGGAAAAGGCTTATAGCCCCTAAGGCCCTGGCGATTTGAAGGGCAATCAGCTCGAGATGTCAACTGTTTCAGGGTGAGATATACACTTTTCTACTTAATAAAGTCCACCCAGGCTTCCCCGGTGGTCCAGTGGTTAAGAATCCGCCTTGCAATGCAGAGGACACAGGGTCGATCCCTGGTCCAGGAGAATTCTACATGCAATGAAGCCCACAGTAGCCACAACTACTGAAGCCCGTGCACCCTAGAGCCAGTACTCCACAACTAAGAGAAGCCACTGCAGTGAGAAGCCTTCGAACCACAGCTAGAGGGTAGCCCCCACTCGCTGCAAGTAGGAAAAGCCCATGTGCAACAAAACTTGCCACAGCCAAACAGTAAAATACATAAATCTTTAAATATGTATATTATATATAGTGGTTTTATATATAAAATAAAGCCCACCCAGGAAACTCAATACCACCTTCCCCTTAATTCTCTTTCTCTGAGATGTGGCTGGCATGCGGCAATCCAGTACCTCTTTTCTTTGAGCTGGTTTCTGACAAAGTCCTCAATGATCGGGTTCTGCAATGTGTAGTACTTGGTCCAGTAGATGCAGAGGCGCTGATACTCTGAGCAGCTGCAGCACTGTGACCAGGCCTTTGTCCAACCTGAAACGCTCGCTCTCCTTAGTACCCGTTTCCCAGGCATAGATGGTCAGTAGCTCAAGGGCATACATTGGGGACGGCTCCGCCCTAGGGCACTGGGCTTTCACATACTGTTGAAAGACATGGGAAGAGAGAGAGAGTGATCCCAGGATTCCTTAGAAGGATGACATTGGACCCGAAACTGAAAAAATCCAAGTTCTTGTCCCAGTTTTGCTAATTACCGGCTGCATATTCTTGGCCAAGTCACTTTTCCTCTCTGGCCTTAACTGAGTTCCCCCATCTTAAAATTAAGCAACTGGGTGAGTCCAGTGGGTTTCAAACTGTACTTGACATAACTTCCGGAATGGAATGATGAAGAAGTATCCCAAGGAGTGAGCAGGGACTTTCCTGGTGGTCCAGTGGCTAACATGCCATGCTCCCAGTTTCCATCCTTGGTCAGGAAACCTAGATCCCACATACCACAACTAGAGATCATGCCACAGTGAAGGCAGAAGATCCTGCATGCTGCAACTAAGACCTGGTGCAGCCAAACAAATAAATACTTAAAAGACAAAAAAGGGAGTCAGCAGATTGGGCTCTGTCACCAGCACCCCAACCAAAATAACTCTATTTTAATCTATTTGGGCTTCCGGGAGATTTCTTTTAAAGAAAAATCTTCCTAGCTAAAGAGAAAAAAAAACGTGTTTGTGTATGTACTGGGGGACTATGTTATTGTTGCTGTTTAGTTGCTAAGTTGGGTCTGACTCTTTTCGACCCCGTGGACTGTAGCCTGCCAGGCTCCTCTCGGACTAGATAATAGCTGAGAATCTGTAGTGAACGTTGGGGTTGCTTCTCTAACAGGCCTGTCTTTCTTCCCCATTGTTTAGTGGCCATGCTGTTTGGATGTGATTGACCCAATCCTCATCTCCAGGGTTGGCCCTGACTGGACAGGATCACTAGGATAAACCTATTCCCCCTTGCCAAGTGGTTGGTTTAAGAGATGCCTTGTGATCTAAGCTGGCTCAATTTGAGTCAAATCTAGTTCTTTTGTTCTGTGGTTCAGAGAAGAGGAGTCTAAGTGAATGTGAGGGCAGGAACAGATGTGGCCATTTTGCCACCATGAGGGACACCAGCTTGGGGACCAAGTTGACATATAATATTGAGAGAAGCTGTTCCAGGTTGCACTAGTGGTAAAGAACCTGCCTGCCAATGCAGGAGACATAAGAGATGCTGGTTTCATCCCTCAGTTGGGAAGATCCCCTGGAGGAGGAAATGGCAACCCACTCTAGTATTCTTGCTTGGAGAATCCCATGGACAGAGGAGCCTAGCAGGCTACAGTCCATGGGATCGCAAAGACTCAGATATGATTGAAGCAACTTAGCACACACGCACAAACAAGAGAATTACAGAGAAACAGAGCTGCAGCCTTCACCAAACAGTGCCTGAAGCTCTTTCCACTGTTGTAGGTTTTCACACATGAGCTGATAATTCTCTTTATTGGTTAATCCAGTTAGAGTTGGTTCTTCTGTTACTCTCAGTTAAAAAACAAAACGAAAAAAATTAGAGTCAATTACCCAGGTTAATGTTCTATTTTTGATGGCTCTATGTGGGGGGAGGGGGGAAAGCTTTCTTTCTTTATCTCCTACCCTCAATATTGGAGAAGGAAATGTCAACCCACTGCAGTATTCTTGCCTGGAAAATCCCATGGATGGAGGAGCCTGGTAGGCAACAGTCCATGGGGTCGCAGAGTCAGGCATGACTGAGCAACTTCACTCACTCACTCACCCTCAGTATATGGCTATACATAGTGCAAACTTAAATGATATATTATTCCAACTGACATCTCAAAAATTTTTTTAAAAAATGACTTTGTGCATGAGCATGCACAAACTTGGACATCTCTGAGATCAGTGATATTCTTACAGTTAAGACTTGGTGAAATCAAATAAAACCCAGAGAGTCTAACTTACACATTCCTTGGCCCCAGTGGATGAATTGGTAAGCATCAAAAAATACTTTTGAATCATGATAGTAAATGACAACTCCTGGGATGTTACAAAGTCTCTAGATAAAAATGAACTAACAACCTTTTTAGCATCACAAGACTCTAGTTCTGTTTAAAGTATAATATGAACTTTGTGTCCTTGAGTATTGATCAACACGTCTTGTAACACTTGGTTAAATAAACATTCTCAAATAAAAGAAAGCATCAAATGAATAATACTGAGTCAAGAAACTTTCAAAAAACCATATGCAGCCAACATCTTGTCTTAGAGGCAGAATCTTTTAGGTTGTTTGTTTTTAGGCTGCGTAGGGACCGAGGTTCCCTGACCAGGGATGGAACCAATATCCCTGCAGTGGAAATGTGGAGTCTTAACCACTGGACCGCTGGAGAAGTCCCTTAGAGGCAGAGACTTGTACAAGGAAAGGGCTATGGAAGTCAAGCTGGTATGTTTTTCTGTGGACATTGCCAATAAATGTGCATGTCATATTCAGGAAGAAAACACTTTGTACACTTAGTCAAACAAACAAAACACAGATCATTCTTTTGAGTTCTAGCTCTTCAAATCCACAAAACTTTGGATCATTTCCTGTTTAAGTGACTGACTGGCCAAAAATACCACTTTCATTCTTGACTTTGGTGTTGCTAATATCTGAAGATACATCACAACCTTTGTTGAGGTGATAACTATGTAAGAAAACACTATTTTTCCACCATAAACATACTAATTATAAACAAACTTTCATAGTATCTTGATTTTTATCTTTAAATACTATTTTTTTTTTCTTTTTTGGTTAAACCTGTCTTTCTAAACTCTGACTCTTAAGCAGTTCTTTTAAAATAAGAAATCATTTTTTTTTTCTTTCTTTCTCGTTTTTTGTTTGCTTCTGATTCTTCCTTTCATAAGCTGAGATGACTCTGCTCATCTGGGTATTTGGAAATACCCTTGGTACCATGCAGACATCCTATGTGAAATCTAACAGTAGCTTGCCATAAAATAGGTAACTAACTAAATTCTCTCCTGGCCCACGGCCATTGCCCTCCTCACAGTTTCCCCCTGCTGACAAGTCTGGTTCCTGCCTTTTCTTCCCCTCCCTCCCCCATCTTCTGCTCTTGCCCCCATCAGGCGGCCTCCTCACCTCCGGGTACCAGTGTTTTACCAGCTGCAGGAGACTCCTCAGCTTGGTTGGCTTGTATTTCATGAAGTTTCTCTGCAGCTCGCTGAAGGATGGGGAGAAATGTCCAAGAATAGGGCAGGCCTCAGTCAGTCCCACATAGACCTCTGGGGAGGGCTGAAAGTTGGGAACAGAAGATCCTGAGGAGGCAAAGGAGAGACAGTGAGGGCTTAGAAAGCCCCAGTTGCTAACAAGTCCTCAAGGCTTTTTGTTGTTTAGTCATTAAGTCATGTCACTCCATGTGACGCCATAGACTGTAGCCCACCAGGCTCCTCTGTCCATGGAATTTCCCAGGCAAGAATACTGGAGTGGATTGCCATTTCCTCCTCCAGGGGATCTTCCTGATTCCAGGGGTCTAATTCGTGTCTCCTCTATCGGCAGGCGGATTCTTTACCGCTGAGCCAGGGGGAAGCTCTCAGGGGAGAGACTGCTAATTCATTTGAGTATCTCTCCAGGGAAGCCTGGAACTATATAGCTTGAGAGACTAAAGGTTTGCTTTCTTGACTGTCCTTCTGGAGAATGAAAAGTGAGTTTTGCAGAAACAGACTCAGATATAGAGAACAGACCTGTGGTTGCCAAAGGGGGAGATGGATAGGTGGGGTAGGGATAGATTGGAAATTTGCGTTTCGCAGATGCAAACTATTATATATAGCATGGGGAAACAACCACCCCCAGGGTAAGTGTTCCAGAGTCACCCCGGGGGTTGCTCTAATGCTTTCCCTTCCTTGACGCTCCCTTCCTCTTCAATCTTATATTTATCTGCGTGATTCTTTGATCAATCTGTTTGCCCCATTGAACCACAAGGATAACCAGAGCTGAGTCAGTCCCAGGCATTTCAGTCGCCCAGCACCCAGGTCGGGATGTGGGTTGAATGGGTGCATGCAGGGGTCTGCACATGGCCACAGAGGAGAAGTGAGGGAGCTGTGGGTCCTCCCCCTGGGGAGGGCAGGCGTGTGAGTCAGGTGGACTTACCCTTACTCAGGACTCTGTAGGCCGGCACGATGGTGACTGTGACTTGCTCTTCCACCTCCCAGGTCTGAATGGTGAAGGCGACAGCAGAGGTGACTCCGTGGACCAGCCTCAGGTTCTGGGGCTGGAGGTGTAGCAGATCTGGGCAATCCGTGAGCTTTTCATAGAGCATGCTCAGAACATGCTCGTGGTGGTTGTAGTCCTGGAAACTGCCAAAACCGCTCAGGAACACCACCGGCTCCACCTCCGCGAGGTTCCTGAGCGCCGTGCCATTCCCGAAGGAGCCCACCTGTGGAACACAGAGCCCCATCACCCCAGGGCCACTTCCGGGACCAGGGATCTTAGGACTCTTTCAAGGATGATCCTGTTGATCACTACTCACCTCACCGATGGGTGGGGAGTACCCACATCACCCCTTTAGAGGGGAGGAAAGTGGAGAGGTCAAGATGGCAAGCGGCTCACCCAGGGTCACACGGTGGATGTGTCAAATCCTTGCAGCTGGACCCCACAACCCACGTTTCTTATTTACTCTGCTGCCTTGCTTCTGAGACTCAGCCTTGTCTGCAGAGTGATCCCCACTCCAAGGAAACCATCATCCTCTATAGGGTGGCAGTTGGAGGATTCTGGGGGGTGGGAGGGGCAGGTCTGAATAATTTTGTGCTCTGTGTGTGTGCGCAAAGTCACTTCAGTTGTGTCTGACCCTTTGCGACCCTGTGGACTGTATAACCCGTCCGGCTTCTCTGTCCGTGGGATTCTCCAGGCAAGAATACTGGAGTGGGTTGCCATGCCCTCCTCCAGGGGATCTACCCCGACCCAGGGATCGAACCTGTGTCTCTTACCATCTCCTGCACTGGCATAATTTTATGTCATTAAAAAAAAGGGTGTGGAGACCTAGGGGCTTCCCAGTTGGTGCTAGTAGTAAAGAATCTGGCTGCCAGTGCAGGAGACATGGGTTCCCTCCCTGAGTCAGGAAGATTCCCTGGAGAAGGGAATGGCTTCCCACTCCTGTATTCTTGCCTGGAGAATCCTATAGACAGGGGAGCCTGGTGGTCTCCGGTCCATAGTATCAAGAAGAATCGGACACGACAGAAGTGACTTAGCACGCACTCGTGCCCTTGGTGATCTAGCTGGGTGGGATGAAAGGAATGGGAGGGAGGTTCAGGATGGAGGGGATACATGTCTACATACGGCTGACTCACTCTGTCGTACAGCAGAAACTAACATAACACCGTAAAGCAACTATATCTCCGCAAAAAAAACCTGTTTTTGAGTAAAAAGGGGGCACAGGATTTCTTGGTGGATAAGAGCCATGGGCTGGGGAATGGGGCAGCCTGCTATTGACCTCGCCTCTCGCCCTTGTTCCTCAGTGGTGCGATCTTCTGAACCCTGTCCCTCAGCAGTCGTCTCAGAGTACCGATAGCACGTGGATCACTGGGTTACTGGGAGGATTCGGTAAGACCCTGTGTGTCGAGGGCTTGCCGTGGTGCCGATCACACAGGAAGTCAGCCATATAGCTCTCTTCCTTTTCTTTCTCGAGCTGACTTAGATCACCTCTTCTGCCTGAGCTTCAGCTTCCCCATCTGAGCTGAAGGAGACCGGGCTGGATGATCTGAAGGGGTCTTTCTGATGTTCCGAGATCCTGGGCTTGCTCTCCAGTCCTGCTGCCTCTGGTATGCAAGGCCCCCAACTCTTTGGCCTTCTCTCTTTCTCACTCGAGAGGTGGAATCGCCGCAGACCTCAGGTGGGTTACCTCTGCTTGTGGGTGGGAGTCATTGAACATTGACTGTGAGCCAGCTGCCACCAGCTGGGCCCTCACTGTGTCCGGCCCCACTGAGAGCCTTTTATACACACAGCCTTTTAATCCTCACTCTCACTAATTGAGGCGGCGTGTGTCAGTCTCTCAGTTCTGTCCGAGTCTTTGTGACCCCATGGACTGTTGCTTGCCAGCTTCCTCTGTCCATGAGCCTTTTCAGCCAAGAATACTGGAGCGGGTGGCCATTTTCCATCCCCAGGAGATCGTCCCAACCCAGGGATCAAAACCACGTCTGCTGCGTCTCCTGCATTGCAGGTGGAGTCTCTACCTGCTGAGCCATCAGGGAAGTGCCCAGTTGAGGTGGAGGGACTAGCATATTTATCCCCATTGTACAGATGAAAAAAAGGAGGCAGCTGGAGGCTAATTGATTTGCCATGGACTCATAGCCAGGAGTCATGGTCGCAGTCAGACAGAGGGTCAGAACACAGGGTGTGGTTCTTCTGCCTCTTTATTTCCAGTGACCCAAGTCTACATGCCAGGCCCTACTTCTGTGGAAGAGAAGTCTGCCATCTTTATTTTCCTCTTCCTTTTTTTTTTGACCTCACCATGTGGCACGCAGGATTTTAGTTCCCCATCCAGGAATCCAGGAATCAAACCCACATTCCTTGCATTGGAAGCATGGGAGTCTTAAGCACTGGACCTCCAAGGAAGTCCTCTTCCTTTTCCATTTTTCTTTCTCCACCTGCCTTCGGAGTCAGCGTTTCTGCCCCACGTGAGAGCACTGGGGCTGGCACTCTGTGTGCCGATGAAAGCCACAACCCCCTGAAGGCTGTGCCCTTCTTACCTTTCCCAGTGGGAAGATACAGGCAGAGAGGGAACAGCATTCTAGAACAGGCTGCATGACTTGCTTCAGTCCAAACCTATTCCAACCCAAGGATAAGCATTCACTCATATGGATCAGCACAGCTCACCAGATTTTCATGGGAGGGAAGAGGGTTTAAAGCCCAAATAAAGTGCTAATTTCCCAATGGCCATTGCTGTTTGGGTGTCTCTATTATTTATTAGTTTCAAGATTGGAGAAGATTGCAGGCAGGATTTGAGGGCTGGGTTAATACCACTTCCTGCCATCAAAACTCACGTTTGAGACATCCTTCCGTCCCACTCACTTGCCCCGTGCCATCTGCATTATTCTCAGAGTTGGTGGGGTGGTGTGGGTTTGGTCTGGGAGGATCTCCGTGAGTCATGCTGGTGCTCAAGGCCCAGAAGGAAGCTCAAGCAAAAGTTGATAACAGTGCTTTTGTTTTTGAACATTGACTAATCATTTAGCCTGCACCACTCTATTTGGTTGATGAGGGGCAGATGATGATGATGGTGTGGGTTCGTGCTCAGTCGCTCGGTTGTGTCCGACTCCTTGCGACTGCGTGGACTATAGCCCACCAGGATCCTCTGTCCGTGGAGATTCTCCAGGCAAGAATACTGGAGTAGGGGCCTTTCCTGATGGCTCAGTGGTAAAGCATCCATCTGCTAATGCAGGAGACACAGGTTCAATTCCTGGTCCAGGAAGATCCCATATGCCACAGAGCAACTAACCCCATGTGCCACAGCTCTAGAGCCTGGGAGCCGCAACTACTGAGCCCTAGTCCACAGCTACTGAAGCTGCTCTGCCCCGGAGCCCATGCTTTGCAGCAAGAGATGACATCACAATGAGAAAACTGCATTGCAGTGGAGAGTAGCCCCTGATCTCCACAACCAGAGAAAAGCCCCTGCAGCAACGAAGACCCAGAGCACAGCCAAAAATAAATAAATAAAATTATTAAAAAAAAAAAAAACCAATACTGGAGTGGGTTGCCATTTCCTCCTCCAGGGGATCTTCCTGACCCAGAGATGGAATCCGAGTCTCCTGTATTGGCAGGTGGATTCTTTCCCGCTGAGCCACTGGGGAACCCTGCCCCCACCCCCGCTGTGATGCCGGTGAGGTCATCCCTATTACACGTGAGAAGAGTGAGGCTGAGGGCTTGAGAGACAAGACGGTGACTCTAAGGTCACCCAGCTAATGAGGGAAGAAGCCAAGAGTCAAACCCACGTCTCCTGTCAAAATGTATGGTTTCTCACTTCTAAATCACATGGCTTCAGGCTCTGGGTGCTGGGGATGAGAGTAGAAAAGTAACACGGGCTTTCGGCTTCTAAATCCTTCCCTGAAGTGACTGCTCCTAAAGGCAGAGCTAGAGCACTGAGCTTTGAGTCAGGAGTGTCCTAGTGCCAGCCTTGCCTGCACCACCAGCTTGCTGTGTGAACGTGGACAGTGTCCCAGCCTCTCTGTGCCTCAGTTCCGTTAGTGTTTACAAGAAGGCTTGGCTGAGAACTCTCTGCCTCCAGGACCTTTCAGGTTGGGAAGCTGAAGCTGGTGGATTGAGTTAAGAACATGTAGGGTTTCCCTAGTTGTCCAGTGGTTAAGAATCTGCCTTGCGATGCAGGGGACACCGGTTTGACCCCTAGTCCGGGAAGAGCCCCTCTGCAGTGGGGCAGCTGAGCCCTCGTGCCACAGTTGCTGAAGCCCGTGCGCCTAGAGCCTGGCTCTGCGACCTGACAGGCCCCTGTGGTTGAGAGGCCCACGCAGCCCAACTGGAGCAAGCTCTGGTGCAATAACAAAACCCCCCAGTGCAGCCAAATATAAAATACATAAATTTCAGAATGTGGAGATTTTCCCTTGACGAATGTGGGGGCACAAGCCACGCATACGGGCAGGCAGCTCCCCCAGCAAGCTCCCCTGAAGGCTAATGAAACTCACGGGGCTATTGGAGAGAAGACGCATCTTCAGCATACCCGTACAGAGGAAGTGGAGTCACAGGGTTTACTACTGACACAAACAGATAACTGATGAGAACCTGTGTCCAGCTCAGGGAGCTCCACTCAGTGCTCCGTGGTGACCTAAATGCGAAGGAAGTGTAAAACGGAGCGGATATATGTGTATGGACAACTGCGTCCCTCTGCTGGACAGTGGAAACTAACACTGTAAAGCGACTATACTCTAATAAAAATTCATTAAAAATTAATTTAAAAAAACTTATTACTTACAGATCCCAGAAGCAAGGGGACTCAGTGAACTGGGGAAAGAGCAGGACTTCTCCCCAGGTCACAATTCAGCAGGAGATGGAGCAGGGTAGAAAGCACCTAGTACTTACAAGGTGATTGGGGCAGAGGTTACTAACTTTTCGCAGGCTTATCTTTGAAGTGGTTATTTTATTTTATTTTTTAATTAAGAAAGTCCATCTTGACTCTATATTTAAAAAAAAAATTTTTTTTTTTTTTTAAATTTTGTTATTTATTTTGGCTGCATTGCGGGGCTTGTGGAATTTCTCTGACCAGGAATCAAATCTGTGTCCCCTGCAGTGGAAGTTCAGAGTCTTAACCACCCGACCACCGGTGAAGCCCAATAACTGGTTATTTTAAAAGGTTCCACCAGGAGAAGCAAAGCACAAACTTGCACGGTGCCCAAAACTGATCTAAAGGTCCAGACTCTGGACTTTTGGTGTTAGCAGGATCATCATACTGTAAGGTGCTTAGGCAGCAACTCAGAAAAAGAAAATTGTTTTTTTGTTTTTCCTCATCACACCTCAAAAGTTGTTTTTTCTCATCACACCTTTCTTTTTTTTTTTTTTTGAGGAGAAGAATTCTTTTTTTTTTTTTTTTTACATGTATTCCCCATCCCGGTCCCCCCTCCCACTCATCACACCTTTCTAGTTTTGACCCTCTTGGAGTATTATCCTAGTTAGGACCGGAGGTGACGAGAGGAAGCTGCTGAAAGGGCTTGGGGGAAAAAAAGCTCAATGGGGCAGCCTAGAGTGGAGTAAGAATCCCAGCTTCACGACCAGCTGTGTGACCTTCCGTAAGTCCCCTCATCTCCCCGATCTTCCATTTAAAAAAAACAAAAAAAACTTTCCATTATCAAAAATTGTGAACATAAAAATAGAAAGAGAAAACAAAGAACATTTATACCTCCACCCAGTCAGATTCAACAAGTCTAAACTTCTTGCCATGTTTGCTTCAACTAAGCCACTTTAAAGTAATTTACAGGAACTTCCCTGACTGTCCAGTGGTTAAGACATCGCCTTCCAATGCAGGGCATGCAGGTTCAATCCCTGGTCAGGAACTAAGTCTTGAGACCAAAAAACCAAAACATAAAACAGAAGCAATATTGTAGCAAATTCAAGACTTTAAAAATGGTCCACATCCAAAATGTGCACTACTATTATTAGCTCCCTTACTCAACTTGCTCTGCTCAAGGCAGCAGTGTGTTGGGATGCTGTGTCTTGAGATGTCAGTAGCATAGACTAGGGATGATGAGGCAAGAGGTCCCTAGCATCCTCAGAGACATGGACCCACAGGTTGGGTTTGGCCCAGCCCTGGCCGGGAAATGGAGGGGACCGGTCTCACCTGGATCATCTTCAGCACCTTCTGGTCCAGCCCATGGTCCCCCTGGAAGTGCTGCTTCCTCAGGAACTTCTGCACGGTCCGCACTGCCTTAGCACGCCTTCTTTCCACTCCTTGATGTTATGCTGGCACTGAGCCATAAAGGAGTTCAAACTAGAAGCTGGGGTGTTAAACAGCTCCAGGGGTACTGCCATGTCTGTCTTGAGAGGACCACTGGTGGCTAGGCATACAGCTAGGCACTACCTACCTGCCGGCACACTCACCCTTCTTTAAGGACAGTCCTCTCCAGTCCCTTGTGGAATAAAAGACCAGAGTGGAGAGGAAACCAGGGGTGTCCGGCTCCTGGGGACCAGAGCTCCTGTTTACTGAGGCTGTGTACTGCGGCCGGGGCACCCCAGACACTGAGTGATGACGGGAAGGTCAGGTGCGCCCTTAATGGGTGTGGCTGTCAGGCACCCTTCCTGTGGCAGGTTTCGTGTCTCAGCTGTTAGTTCTCCTTTTATAAGTTGCAAACTGAGATTGGCTTGAGGATGGCCCTGGAAGAGGCAACTTCCCCAGTTGGATGGTATCCACCAATCCCATCCCACTACATTGTCATCCAAAACAGGCTGACAAAGAGCAGGGACTCGCTCTAGGTTGAGCTGAAGAATGGGAAGTCTAGGGTCCCCGGTACAAACTCTGGAATTCCAGTCTGCCCTTTGCCAGACTCTTAACCTCTCTGACCTTTACATAAATAATCCTTAAAATGGGTTTAGGAATAATACCTATCCCACAGGGTGTGTGGATTAAGCCTGAGAACATTTAGAAGACAAAGTATTAAGTAAATGTACATATTAGACTTCCCTGGCGGTCCAGTGGTCGAGACTCTGTGCTTCCAATGCAGGCGGCGTGGGTTTGATCCCTAGCTGGGCAACTAGGATTCCACATGCCTCGTGGCCAAAAGCAAAAAATAAATGCAAGTATTATTATTCATTCACTATACATCTAGTGAGGCTTCCCAGGTGGCTCAGTGGTAAAGAACCTGCCTGCAAATGCAGGAGACATGGGTTCAATCTCTGAGTTGGGAAGATCCCCTGGAGGAGAAAATGGCAACCCACTCCAGTATTCATGCCTGGGAAATTCCATGGATGGAGGAGCCTGGTGGGCTTCAGTCCATGGGGATCACAAGAGTCAGACACAGCTTAGCGACTAAACCATCTTCCATTCCACACATGTGGATAGTGAGGGGTGATGGTATTTGGGAGGTTAGTCTCAAGTAAGGTGGTTAGGGAAGTTCTGAAAAGGAAATATTTGCACAAAACATGAAGGAGGCAAAGACTGAGCTGTATATACATTGGAGGGAATAATGGGAGAAAGAGCAGCAAGTACAAAGGTCCTGTGGTAGCAGTGTGCCTGGTGGGTGTGAAGAATAGCAGTGTGATGGAAATGGGATGATCAAGGGGGGAATGTGGGAGGGGATGAGGCTTGAGTAGTACAGAGAGGGGGGCAAATTGTGTAGGATCTTGAAGACTACTAAGACTCTGGCTTTTACTCTGAATGAAATGGGCTTCCCTGGTGGCTCAGATGGTAAAGAATCTGCCTGCAATGCAGGAGAGCCAGGTATGATACCTGGGTCAGAAAGATCCCCTGGACAAGGGAATGGCTACCCACTCCAGTATTCTTGTTTCAAAAATCTCATGGACAGAGGAGCCTGGCGGGCCACAGTCCATAGGGTGGCCAAGAGTCAGACATGCCCAAGCAACTAGCTTTCACATTGAATGAAATGGGGAACCACAGGGGAGTTCCAAGCAGAAGAGGGACATGGTTGGACTTTTAACAGAATCACATTGGCTCCCGGTGGGAGGATTAGATCAAAAGCGGAGGGTGGAGAGGTGGCGAGAGCAGAGGCAGGAATTCATTAAGAAGTTACTGCAACAGTCCAAACAAGAGATGTGGTGGCTTGGATCGGAATAGCAGCAGTGAAAGGGAGGGAGAAGTGGTATTATTTATTTTTCTTATGGAAAATTTCAAACATAAACAAAAGTAGAATATAATGAATGTTTACGTGTTACCTCCCACTTCAAGAATTATCAAAATGAAAGTGCAGTTGCTCAGTTGTGTCCGACTCTTTGTGACCCTATGGGCTGTAACCCGCCAGGCTCCTCTGTTCATGGGATTTTCCAGGCAAGAATACTGGAGTGGGTTGCCATTTCCTTCTCCAGGAGATCTTCCCAACCCAGGGATCGAACTTGGGTCTCCCACATTGAGGGCAGACTTTACCATCTGAGCCACCAAGGAACCCCTTCAACAATTATCAACCTATAGACAATTTTTTATGTTTATTCATGTCTTCTGCCCATTTGTGTGTGTGTGTGTGTGTGGCCATGTGGTTTGCAGGATCTTAATTCCCCAATCAGGAATAGAACCTCTGCAGTAGAAGCACAGAGTCTTAATTGCTGGACCTCCAGAGAAGTCCCAATCTAGAGACAATCTTTCTTGAATGATGTCCCCGTCTCCCCTCTTGTATTATTTGAAAGTGAATCCCAGACATCACAGGAGCTTTCCTGGAGGCTCAGTCAGTAAAGAATCTGCCTGCAATGCAAGAGATGCAGGTTCAATCCCTGGATCGGGAAGAATTTTTGGAGAAGGAAATGGCAATCCACTCCAGTATCCTTGCCAGGAAAATCCCATGGACAGAGGAGCTTGGTGGGCCACAGTCCATAAGGTTGCATAAAGTTGAACACAACTGACTGACTAAGCACACACACACAGCAAAGACATATTTAAAGCCATGAGTCTGGATGACTTCATCAAGGGAATGAGTATAGAACAAGATGAGAAAAGGACTAAAGATTGAGCCCTGAAACACTTAATAATATTAATAGATTGGAGAAATGCAAGCATCCAGCAAACAAGAATGAGGCGTATCGAGGGAGGTGGAAGAAAAATCAGGAATGTGTATTGATAGCCAAGTGGAGATGCTGTTCTGGGAAACAGAAAGTGATCCACTGGGTCAAACATCAGGCAAATCCGTGCTGACTTTGTCCTGAGGGCAGTGGCAAATCAGATGAGTGACCAGAGGAAAGGTTACCATTCTGGGTAGATTGGCTTGGCTGCTTCTGTAGGGAGGGTGGATTGCCAGGGGCAAAAGTAGATATAGGCAGACATGTCAGGATGCTGAACTGTGGCCGAGGTGTTAGGGAAGGTGTCCTGGACTCAACTGGGAGGACTGGAGGTAGGAGAAGCAGTGGGATTCTAGGTCTACATTGAAGGAAGGGAGAACAGGATTTGGTGACTACAGGTAGGAGGTGAGGGAGAAGACAGGATGGCTATCATCCTTCTGGCTTGGGTACCTGGGTAATGGGTTAAGGAATAGAGACAGGGCAGGAACAGAGACACAGAGGTAGAGAACAGATGTGTGGACATGGCTGGGGTCAGCGGGAGAAGAGGGGAATGAATTGGGAGATTGGAACTGGCATGCATACATGACCACATGTGAAATAGATAGCTAGCAGGAACCTGCGGAATGGCACAGGGAGTCAGCGCTGGGCTCCGTGATGACCTAGATGGGAGGGACGGGGGCGGGCGGTGGGAGGGTGGGAGGGAGATTCAACAGCGAGGGGTGTATGTATACATAGAGCTGATTCACTTTGCTGTACAGCAGAAGCTAAGACAATACTGTAAAGCGACTCCACCCCAACTGAAAAACAGACAAAAACAAAAGGAGGAAGGTACAAGGAGGAATGGAAAGCGGGGAGGTCTAGAAGGGTAACTGTTCAAGCCAGAAAGCTTCAAAAAGTTGCTTAATGCTTCTGGTGAGTTCAGGAATCTAGGCTTGAGATGCACCCAAGAGGCTGCTGGTGATCATGGTGGTTCAAGTGTCAGAAGAGCTGGGAGCAGGGGCCAGGTTGGGGGTGTTGAGTAGTAGGTTGGGTGAGGGGCATGAACACCAGGAGTGGGGATAACCCTTTCAAGAAGTTTGTTGTGAAGGATGGAAAAAGACAGGGTGTGAACTGGAGGAAGTGGTGAGATAAATTCTGTTTAGTGTCTTAAATACCATTTGTGGACAAAATAAAATGAAAACCCTCAATCATGACACATTTCAGTGTTAACGTTCCAACTGGCTAACCCCAAATGGAGAGAATCACATTTTTAATTACATAAATGCTAAGTGTCTCCAGATTTCCCGAGTTTGGTGGTGCTTGGTCCTTAAACAGTCCTATATTACAATGGTTTAAACGACAAGAGCAGTTTTGAAAAGGGTAGTCAACAATTAACTGAGATTCCAAACATTTGTCCAATGTTTATAATGACAGATAATGAGGTTCAAGGCAAAATAGAGAAGTTATTCAAGCAGTGAACATTCAAACCTGACATCTTAGTTTAAAATATATATATTTTTAAATATAATTGATTTACAATGCTGTATTGGCTTTAGGTATACATCATAGTGATTCAATAGTTTTACGGATTATACTCCATTTAAAGGGCTTCCCCGGTGACTCAGTGGGTAAAGAATCCACTTTCAGTGCCTTAGATGCAGATGTGGGATCAATCCCTGGGTTGGGAAGATCCCCTGGAGGAGGGCCTGACAATCCACTCCAGAATGCTTGCCTGGAGAATTTGATGGACAGAGGAGCCTGGCAGGCCATAGTCCACAGTGTTGCAAAGAGTCAGACATGACTGAAGTCACTGAGTATGCACACACTCTATTTGAAGTTACTATTAAATGCTGACTTCATTCTCTGTGCTGTGACTTCCCTTGTGGCTCAGGCGGTAACACGTCTGCCTACAATTCAGGAGGCTTGGGTTACATCCCTGGGTCAGGAAGATCCCCCGGAGAAGGAAATGGCAACTCAGTCCAGTACTCTTGCCTGGAAAATCCCATGGATGGAGGAGCCTGGTAAGCTACAGTCCATAGGGTCACAAAGAGTCGGACATAACTGAGCGACTTCACTTTCACTTTCTGTGCTATAGAATAGGTATCAGTTCAGTTCAGTTCAGTTGCTCAGTCATGTCTGACTCTGCAACCCCATGAAAGCATGCCAAGTTTTCCTGTCCACCACCAACTCCCGGAGCTTGTTCAAACTCATGTCCATCGAGTCGGTGACGCTATCCAACTGTTAGGTAGTTAGAATAGGGAAAAGGAGTCCAGAATGGCAGTGGCTAAAAGACCTGGAAGGGAAAAACCCGCGAAAATAGAACAAAGGAAGGTCTGAGGACCTGAGTGAGAACCTCAGGTAAAACAAACAACACTCCTGGCTGGCCCAATCTACATAAGACAGGCCCAGGGACAGAGAAACATGTAAAAAGGGGAGCCAAAGCCCTCTCTCTCTCTCTCCTGCGCGATGGGGTGATCTTCTCTTCGCGTCTTTGGATCGACGTGCCCTCACGCCTCGAAGATGGATTTTCCTGCTATTATCTAAATAAATAGAGCTGTAAGACTGAGCCGTAACACTGATTTATTTAAGAGCTATAACACGGTCTGTCCTCCGAGAGCTGTGACCCGCCGAGGGGCTTTAATGTCCGTCACTCCAAATTTTTGTTGTGACGAGACAAAGAACCGGGGAGCATACACTCGCCTGCCATCTCTGGTGCCGTGACTCGGGCTTAACCTGGCTGAAACAACCTCCGCGCGGAAGAGGCCAGGCGCAGAAGGAGCCCAGCTCAGCGAAGCTCCCGCGGTAGAAGCGGAACGCGAGGAAAACCCAGCTCAGGGGAAGGCCCATCATGCTGGAAACCGGGGCAGCGAAAGACGAACTCAGCAGAAAGCCCACGCGGCTCAGCCTCAGATTCCAGCAGACCTCCGGTTAAGGTAGGAGGTCCTCGCTCCTATGGCTGGAGGGACGTGCCTAACAAAATCTTAACTCCTTTACAATCTCTCGTTTCTTGTTTCCCTGAACCCCCCGCGAACAGGCGGGCGGCCGTGGGCGCAGCTGAGGGACTCTGGAGAGGCTACCCTTCGGTATGTCCCAAAGGCGCTATCTGCTGAGCCCCAGTAGCGGTTGCCCAAGCCGGTGGGGGTTCTTCTGTCCCTACTCTTCTCTGTTCCAAGAATCAGGCCAATGAAAACTGAGCACCGCTCAGATATCTAGCAAATTTTCCAGTAGGCTATGAAGGGGATTCCTTGGCACGTTTTTCCCACTGTTTTTTCCTCCTGTCCTTCAGCTCTCTATCCCAGGACTCTAGCCCAGCCAAAAAGAAATGGGTAGATTTGCTAAGATTCAGAGAAAAGCGCCCATTCTACAGGGTTCGGGTCTTGGAATGCGGCCTGAGTTTTGCAGCACGGCGTTAATTCATATGCTAATGAGCGGGAGGATCATCCCAGCCATTGGGGAACTACCCACTCCTCCCTCTGTTGACAGTGCCTTAGAGCTGTTCTGCCACCTCTGGGTGTGTCTTTTGGCTTACAGATTGGGAATTACGGTTTGCTCGAATTTGACTTGTCCTGTTGGACCCAACTGACTTTAATCGGTTTACGTTATGTCCTTGTGCTCTGTCATTCTTCCAAAGGTTGTGCTCTGCCCCTCTTTCCCTCCTGTTTCATGAGCCTTTCCTCAGCCCCATCTGGGCCCACAGTGTTGCCTCTACAATCTACTAGAGGGATAACCAAAAAATAGCTGGCCTTGGGAGGGAAGTGCTGTATAATGTCCAACCCCTTAGTCCTACCTAGCACTGGTCACACTGGAGATCTTGGGGACGCCCAAACTCCAGTCCGGGGGTCCCAGGAGGTCATCATGCCTTGACCTGCCTAGGAATCTGGTCCTTGAAAGGTTGTCACGCCTCAGCCTTGGGATCTGCTAGTCCCAAGGGTCCCAGGAGGTCATCACACCTCGACCTGCCCAGGGGCCCAATTCTCGGGAGGCCGTCATGCCTCGACCTGCCTGGGGATTCAATCTCTAGGAGGCTGTCATGCTTCAGCCTGCCTGGGGATCTGCATCCTGACCCGGGGACGCCTGGCTCTCAGGTTGTGACAGTACTAAGTAGGATGAGCTTACATCATGGCATCTATTCCCATCCACGGTGGACAAACTAGCAATGAGTTACAACCCCCTAATTCTACCTAGCACTGGTCACGCTGGAGAGCTTGGGACGCCCAAACTCCAGCCTGGGGGTCCCAGGAGGTCATCACACCTTGACCTGCCTAGGGATCTGGTCCTCAAAAGGGGCTTTAATGTCTGTCACTCCAAATTTTTGTTGTGACGAGACAAAGAGCTGAGGAGCATACACTTCACGCCTCGACCTGCCCAGGGGCCCAATTCTTGGGAGGCCGTCACGCCTCGACCTGCCCTGGGATTCGATCTCTAGGAGGCTGTCACGACTCAGCCTGCCTGGAGATCTGCATCCTGACCTGGGGATGCCTGGCTCTCAGGTTGTGACAGTACTGGGTAGGATAAGCTTCAAAAAGTCTATTGGTTTTTTCTTTTCCTTTTCCTCCCAGGGTTTCCCCTGGGGCTCCTGCAGAATAAAAGGAACTGCCCCGGAGCCCCAGAGATGAGGGAGGTTTAATGCTGAGACCTCCTGTAATCCAACGGTTTGGGGAAGAAGGGAAGGAGCAGGAATGAAGCATCCTTGGAGGAAATATCCATTTAGTACTAAAATATCTGAGGGAGCAAGGGCTACGGTTACTGCATCTTCAGTCCAGCGAGCATCCTGCACAAAGAGGCCCAGGAACATAACTGATGCCAAACGCATAGAAGTTGAGCTTCTCCCAGGGGTGTGGGAGAATGTGCAGATGCTCTGGATGGAAGAGTCTGCATGGCCTCACTCAGCTCCGCACCCACAGTCTGTGTGGCTCTCCATCATTCATCCACCTTCCCTAACCTCTGTTTTCTCTCATGAGAAATGAGGACAGGGAGGACTTCTTTTCATTTCTCATCCTGTCAAGTTGAATATAAAAGGTTGGATGGAGGAGAAAATTATTAACAAAAGTTGTCATTGACCCAATCACAGTGCTTCTTGGAACCCTGGGGACATTTGCCAGGCTGGTGGTGAGATTTTTCCACTGAGCTTACTGAGGTCTACCTGCCATACAATGAACTGCACACATTTTAAGTGTATGGTTTGATACATTTCAAATGCATCTAATCATATGAAACAGTAGCAGTGGGATCTATTTTCATTTAGAACTTGACACTAGGGATTTCCCTGGTGGTCCAGTGGCTAAGCCTCCGAGCTCCCAGTGTAGGGGTCTGGGGTTTGATCCCTAGTCAGCAAACTAGATCCCATGTGCTGCAACTAAGACCTGGTGCAGTCAAATAAGTAAATAAAAATATTAAAAAAAAGTTGACACTGGCAGTTGTGTTGTGGGAAGCAACATCAACCTAGGGAAGCACACACACACACAGACACACATATGGAGTCACCACTTAAAGGCAATCTAAATTTTAAAAATTAAAAATGTTGAACACCCAATGCAGCCAAAA